GATGACATCCTGTCCCTCAGGATTGTCAACTACATTATTTAGCTTCGTGTCAACTGCGAACTTGCTGACAGTGAACTCAATCCCACTGTCTATGTCATCAATGAAGATATTAAACAGTACTGGTCCCAGTACAGACCCCTGAGGGACATTTGACAAGTGTAAGGTCTCACACCTGAGAAAACATAATCCAAGAAGACAGCGTCGGCTGTGTTCTACCTGACTGGAGAGGAGCACTGCGGAAAGAAATCTGGGGGTCCTGGTGCACAAGCTCAATACAGCGAACAGTGTGTTGCTGCGGCAAAGAAAGCCAACAGGCTGCTGGGTTACAAAGACATCACCAGCAGAGACAAAGATCCCACCTTACTTGACACTTGTCAGGCCACACCTAGAATACTGTGTTCAGTTTTGGTCCCTGCTATACAAAAAGATGTGGACAGGCTAGAAAGCGTCCAGAGAATGGACACAAAGATGATCAAAGGCCTGGGAAGCCTCCCCTATGAGGAAAGGATGAGAGAACTGGGTTTGTTCAGCCTAGAGAAAAGAAGGCTCAGGGGAGATCTGATCACCATGTTCCAGTATTTAAAAAGACACTCCTTTTTTAGAAGAAGTCACCTAGAAAAGATGAGGGGTAGTAGGCACAAATTATTCCTGGAGAGATTCTGGTTGGACACGAGAGGATAATTTTTCACAATGAGAACAGTCAGCCATTGGAATAGTCTCCCCAGGAAAGCAGTCGATTCCCCAGTGTTGGACACTTTTAAGATTCAACTGGACAGAGTGCTGGGACATCTTGTCTAGACTGTGCTTTTGCCAGGAAGGGTTGGACCAGATGATCCTTGAGGTCCCTTCCAACTTGGTATTCTATGATTCTATATGAAACTGACCATATACTCTATCACAGTTACCCAAGTCAAAGCCTGAACAGTCCCACAGGAGAAACAGCAAGCTTTTTATGTGAGAGGAAATCTTTATTTCAGTTGAGAAAAAGACTAAGATTGACTAAGATTTGAATGTTCAGAGGTTTTAACAGTGGTAATGGCCAAGTACCTTTGCTTATCTTACAGTGCACACTGCAGCATTAAAAATGAGCATGAAAAGATCTGGCAAAAGCTCCCTAAGCTATTGATATCTAGTTCCCTACTCTAAGGATATTCCGGCCCACTGACAGCAGAAGTGGTCAGCATGCAATCCTGCCACAACTAAAAATCATATAACAGTACAATACTGCCTACAGCCTAGCTATCAATTATTGTATTTCATCAGAAATGCATTTATTTTATTCATAATGCTTCCAAGGAATACAAAGTTCCAGGTTCAACCTTTTACCCAGGTCAGTGCTCTACAGAATCAAACATTTTCTCACTGCCAGCTGGCAAAATCTCAGTGATTTCTTCAGAAATGTCAACATAACTGTATTCGAGTTGGGTAAGCTTTTTTCCCCTAAACTTGAATTGCTCAACATAAAGGCACCATAAAATATTTGCTCTCAGATTCTACATAAAGCACTTTCAGAGGTGTTCTGGAGACTTGAAGCTCTTTGGAAGCCAAGCATTCCACAATGGTAAGTCAAAGGTTTAGATTTATGTTTTTTTTAATGAGGATACAGATAGCTATTTGCTTTAAAACTGCAAAAGAAGGGTATTTAAAAGAATCATGTAGCTATACATTTTTAAACTGGATATATTCTATTAACTGCAAGATGCAAAGAAAGTAAGACAACTTAGTGAATTTTGTTCTTTGTTTTCTAATTCTTTGCAATTAACTACAGATATATCTCTTTGTCTTTCACTTGCTGTTATCCTTTTCTCAGAAATGTTTGTGAAAATATTCAGAATCTGGTAAACATTTTGGACCATGCTTTTAAAACCTATAGATGTGAAATACAGTTTAAAATATAGTCCCTTTACAATGAAAAGTGTAATGCACAGTTATTTGTCTGCATTTCTGTTTTGTTCTATCAAGTTGTGTCCTGTTTCAGCTCTTCCAGCCTCCAAATGTGTTTGCAGAATCTGAATCAACACTTAGGTAATGTTAAATATATAGGCAAAGTCCTATGGCCCAGTTTTCCTCTAACTTATGCTCATGTAACCCCTGAAATTTCAGACATCAGTTTCTACCTTTAATGAGAATCTCAGGAATAGTGTAAGTTTTACAGAAGAGACAGTAGTGTCTGTAATATACATAGATTCATAAATAAAGGGAGAAATTATCATCTACTTTTTTCTCTGCCCAAGCTTTTCTGAGGCCTTGTCTATACTCAGATAATATTTAGTTGAACAAAATGGTCTGGTAGCTCATTCCACATTAATTCATCCACTTTAAATCCCGTTTGGAGGATTCTGTTCTGCAAGGTGGCTGGTGGCACCCCCTTTTTAAGAAAGCAAACAAGAAAAAAAAAAAAAAAATTCCTTGAAGTGCCTTGCTCACAGACCATCCAGAACAACACAACTCTGATGTTTAACTAAAAGCTCTTGGCATCAGTGTAACACTAATAATGTCTGTAATTTCTAATGAAAGTTACTGTTTCTGCCAGTGGTTTCTTACCTGTTTGATACCCTCTTTGCTTACTTACATGTAGAATCATAGAATAGTTGGGGTTGGCAAGGACCTTAAGATCATCTAGTTCCAAACCCCCTGCCATGGGTGGGGACACCACACACTAAACCATGTCACCCAAGACTCCATCCAACCTGGCCTTGAACACTGCCAGGGATGGATGTTGAGATCCTCTATGGAAAGCCATGATTCTCTGAGTTCACAAATCTCTGGATAGCTGCACGGCACAGATGGCCTGACAGATCCGTGCTAAACACATGTGGAGCCTCATCAGAGGCCAGCTGCAATGTTACATCCTACAACTTTACGAACAGGAGTTTCTTAGGCAGTTTTCCTTTGGCCAGGCACTACAGAATACCACCGTTTAAGCATCTCAGTCTTTCTTCTTAACTTCTCTCATCCTGACTATGGTGCTCAGCATAGCAACTAGCTCTATTCTACTCCAAACCCTCAGGAACTCCAACTCACAGAACTGCTGTGGAAATTAAACATTACACCCTTCCCAGACCATTCCACAGACCCTCCTCCTCCTCCTTTTTGCTACACCATGAATGTCCCACAGCCCTGCAAGAAAGCAGCGTATTAAAGATAAAAATAGCAATTTTTTTTTCACAGTAGGCAGAGGACATTCCCCTTGATTTATCATCTGTCTAAGGTTGAAGACGTCTCAGTGTCTTTTGACATTCATGATTCAAGTAACCCAAAGTAGACAGCAGAGCTACCTAAAAACAAAGACTCACCGCTATTTTAAACTCCAGTTTCAAGTAGCAACAGCCTCTGGAGTTCAGAACAGCAACCTGGAAAAATCTACTCATTTTACAATCCTTTAATGTTAATCTGCAAGTGCTATCAAGAAAATAGAAGTAATTTCCTCCATCATAGAATCATAGAATAGTTAGGGTTGGAAAGGACCTTAAGATCATCCAGTTCCAACCCCCCCGCCATGAGCAGGCATGTCTCAGTTTCTGGCCATTCATATACTTTTGCCTTAAGTTATCCAGCCTGAGCAACCCATCAAAATAATCCTGTGCTCTCTCATGCTTCTCCAGTTCCTCTATCCCAGTATAACCATCATTACAAAGTTATGCAGGCTTTTTCAGAAAAGTCCTGTTTTTGCAGGTCCCAATGGACATCTCTGAAGAGCTCTTACAGATGTTTAGCTGTTGCCTTCACCAGAAAAAAAGGAAGATTGTACTGTGATATATCCAAACCTATGTGTGCAAGGTTTAACAAGATGGCTCATGGGCTGCTAAACAATGTACAGCACTGAGATTTTGCATTAAAACACTCAGTTGTGTCTCTCTTGTCTGCACAGCCACAGCTTGCTGGAATATGGTTAGGTCTGTGATCTCCACTTCACTGCCTAATCTGGAGAAACTGCTGGGCCTAAGTGGAGCAATAAGATACCATATACACAGTGATTTGCTGGATAGATAGTTGTATCTTACACAAAGGTGTCGTGGTTCAAGCCTAGCGGGCAACTTGGAACCACGCAGCCGCTCGCCCCCTCTCCCCCCCTTTCCTTCCTCCACCTGGGGAGGAGAATCAGAGGAATGTGACTCCCACGGGCTGAGATAGCAGCACTCCAGTAACTAAGGTATAATACAAACCACTACTGCTACCAATAACAATGATAAGAGGAATAACAAGGGGAGAGGACACAACCGCTCACCACCCACTGACCAATACCCAGCCTGACCCGAGCAGTGATCCGGGCCTTCTGGGTAACTCCCCCCAGTTTATATACTGGAAAATTATGCAGTAATAATAAGAGTCTGACAGGGCTTTCAAGCATACAATATTACTACAGCATTTTGTGATTTCTAGAGATTGGACTTCAGCAGGTGTCAGATGCTGTTGGCACATTTATGTCATATAATTTTGGTGGGGTTTTTTTCCACCTAAAGAAAAAGCCACAAAAGCAGTAAAATATCTGGAGTGTCCTCTTCCAGTATTTCCATGTACACATAATGTGATTTCTAATTTTTGATTCAGGTTCAGTGACTTAGCTTTTGAAAATAAAGATAGCAGCCTTCCAGCATCTGAAGGGGGCCTACAAGGATGCTGGAGAGGGACTCTTCATCAGGGATTGTAGCACTAGGACAAGGGGTAATGGGTTTCAACTTAAACAGAAGTAATTCAGCTTAGATATAAGGAAGGAGTTCTTTACTGTGAGGGTGGTGAGGCACTGGAATGGGTTGCCCAAGGAAGTTGTGAATGCTTCAACCCTGGCGGTGTTCAAAGCCAGGCTGGACAGAGCCTTGGGTGACATAGTTTAGTGTGTGGTGTCCCTGCCCATGGCAGGGGGGTTGGAGCTAGATGATCTTAAGGTCCTTTCCAACCCTCACTATTCTATGATTCTATGCTAATCAAAGCAGAATTAAATTCACGCTATGGGCTTTGTGTCTCTTTTACAGAAGAGCTTTCTGGCTTTCCTTGTTGTAATGGGCATCACAGTGACATTGAGTGATGCATACTGCTTTTCTAAAATAAACAAGCCAGGGGAGACCAACAAAGGTAAGAACAGGGAAGGTTCTCTCACTTGATTGTTCTGTGGTAGCTTGGCTCTACATGGAGCTGCCAGGAAGGGCTCAAAATATAAGGGGTGGGGAAGATGTTAGAAAGACATGTATTGGTTACAGCACCAAGTTGCCAAAAGTAGGGAAAAACAAAAGTCTTACCCTGGACAGGGTATGGCTTGCAACAATATTATTGCTGTTGATGGTAGGTTGCTATGGCTATTCCAGCACATGGAGCTGATGCAGGAGTTGAGAGTAGTTCTGAATAATCTGGTGCCAGGTGGGAGACCTGGCTGTTTGGTTGCTTACTTTCATCCCAGATCTGTCACACTGAAACTGTCTCTAACAAGTGAGGAAGAAATAAATTCAGGCTGCCAAAATGGTCCAGATAATAACCTAGAGAACTTTACTATTGCCAAGAAAAAACGTTTTCAGAAAGCTTGAAATAATTTTAAACCTTTCAGCCTTTATGTGGAGGCTTAAAGAACTTTTTTTTTTCCTGCTGTCTTATGCAGGCTGTGTCCTGGATGGAAAACTGTACCCCTATGGAGAGATCGCAAGGACAGAAAATTGCTTGAGATGCAGCTGCAGCAGAGAAGAAATAAGTTGTTGCTCCCTGTAAGTTTGAACTTCTTGGTGGTATCATTGCCTGTAGGAAAAGCACAGCTTTCCATTTTCTGGGGATAAATGAGTTTCTAAGAGCACAAGAGAGCTTTTCCTCACCCATGTAAGAGAGCTAGGGCAAGCCACATATACCTTTTGATCATTTGGATCCTTGGCTGTGTTTACCTTAACTTACTTTCTGCTGACTGGAAGTGGGCAGAGGCCCTTCCAGACACAACCAGTTGGTTGCCTTTAATTTACAAGAACTGGTGAACTCCTCTTACACTACAGTTAGGTGTTTCCTTAGCAGGTAAAGCGGGAATAGTAAGGTATTGGTTCCACAAGGGACTCAAGTGAAGCTCCTCTAAAGGGCTTATGGTGATCCTTATTATCACCCCTTCCAGAAGCGCTTGTCTCCAGTTAATATGGTGATCGTAGAATGACAAGGTTCTGCTCTGAAGTATCTATCTCCAATATCCTCCTTGCCTCTTAGACTACCTTCTCTAAGGGCCAAAATGGCTTGATTATGATTATCACCTTTGCTCAGGTGACAATTTGTCAGGAAACAGCTACCACATTCTAAGCAAACTGGCAATAATGAAAAATTAATGGAAAAGAGATAAAACATGCCAAGACCGTGCTTATGTTGCTCTGTGGTGGTGTGCTAGAAACCCCTGTGCTAGTGCTGAGCATATTGTTACATCTGCACAGCACACTGCAGCAAGGCATCATTTGAGGTCCTAGAAGCTGTAGTTGCGGGGGCTTTCAAGCTAGCTAAGCTGTTTTTAGCCATAGTTACAGAGATTAGTTCCAGCTATAATCACTGAACCGCCGAATCATTTATTGCTCTCAAGCTAACATTTGCTTTCTCTTTGCCAACGACAGCTTTCATACTCCTATCGGTTATGACAAGGAGAGCTGTAGAGTCATTTTCAATAAAAAAATCTGTGACTATGAAGTGGTGCAGAAGAGTGACCCCACAAAGGAGTGTACTATCTATTCTCGTGTGGGCTAACTAAACATCTGCTCCAAACCTTTCTGCACTGTGGAATTCCTTCCCTTCCTACAGATGTTTTGCCTTCAGAGAGAAGCTTGGAGACACGGGAGATCTTGTAAGAGAGCACTTCAGCAGCTCACTTCTAATCTCCTAATCATTGTAATTCAGTATACAAGATGCATAATCATATACAATGTTTCATTTGTCATTACTTGCATTTGTATCACTGAGCTTTTTTAAATATAATAAATCCAGATGAAACATCCAGAAATGCTTCATAATGATGGTTCTTTTTATGTAATAACATGGGGCAATGTCACCTTCTTTGAGAAAGGAATGAATCCACCTCACTACTCTGACTACTCTGCACCAATACTGGTGCACAAGCCACTCTCATGCTTTGCAGAGTCTGTTCTAGACAAGGGTCACAGCAGACACTTCAGCTCACTACGTGTCAAAGTCCATTATCATTTGTAAGGAATGCACTGTTTGAGATATGCTGTACAATGGGACCTACTCAGGACACACCTAAACTGCTGCAGGAGTCTTGGCAAGAGTCCTCTGAAAAAAAGAGGATGGAAGATCATCATCCTTTTTCTCCCCCCTACCCCCTTCTTGTCTGCCATTTGTCCTCCTCCAAGCCCTGCTTCTAGAAGTCTGCACACACTGCACTGCAGCAGTGGTTCTTGCCCACACTGAAGAAAAGATCTAGATCCCTGCCTATGGTGGGGGGAAGGGGGGGACTAGGTGATCTTAAGGTCCTTTCTGACCCTAAACATTTTATAATTCTATGATCAGTCACTGGAGACACGCTTCCTCATGGCAGCAGAGCTTGAGGTACTAATAAAAGGCAGATGCCTTCTGTCTCTTCAGTATAAAAATTCCCACATATCTGGGGAGAGAAGTCCAGCCAGTGATGGTCTTCAAAACCAAATCTCACACTTGACAATTGTTAATATCCTAAATCTGCCCACACAGGAGCCCAGGCAACAATACTGCTTCTACATGGCCTCTATGCTCCAGAACTATTGAAATCCCACAACAGTCTGCAGTTAACTGTTGTATGGCTTAAAAAAAACCCAAACCAACACAACTTCCAAGACGAGTGGGCTGTTTAATGATGTTCCATAAGCACAACAGGTCTGTTTAATTGTAAAAGTATAAGCTACACACAGCTGAACACTTAGAGGAGGAATCCTTACTCAGCCCCAAATCGATTACCAACTTGTATTTATTCAGCAGGGATACTTGCTTCTCAAGACAGCCCATCTCAAACTCTGCAAGCTATCAGTAGAATCAGAAGGATTTAAGTTGGTATGTTTTCTCTGGCTTTGTTTTTGGTAATTTGCCTATGAAAACTGTTTTAAACTTTCTTATGGCTTCACTCAAGATATCTCCTTTTAGAAAAAGGATTCCAGCATTTTGCAAGCAGCGGTATCACATACTTCGCCTTTTAAAGTTCTCTGTGCTGCAGGCTGGATATCAGTCCATAGCTTTGTTTCTGTACAATTGGTTCCTGCAAGGCAGAAAAAAATGTGAGGGGCCTGAATTAGAGTCAGTTCAGCTTTTTCCAGTACAAACATTTGCACATGCCTTTTTAAAATCTTCCATTCGCTGATTTAATCATGTCATTCCTCTAAACAGCAGCATGTGGAAATGAATGTTCTCACATTGCTTAAGGTCCAAAGGTAAGTTTTCACCATAGATTTTTTGTATACTGCAGGAAAGGAACAATTTTGAAACTTGTCCTGACTTCTCCCTTTTTCTGCCAGCTCATGTCAAAAATCACACAGAACATTCTTCCAGGTACCAATCCAGGCTGTGTTCTCACAACAGCTGCAGCTTCTTAGGGCAAGTAATATTTTAAGCATGGCTATCCGAATACTTCCTACCTTTATAGCTCACAGAACTGTTTCTTGAGAAAAATCAGTTTGGGTTTGGTTTTTTTGGTTTGGGGTTTTGGTGGGGTTTTTTGGGTTTTATTTTTTTGTTTGTTTGTTGGTTGGTTGAGTTGTTTTTTTTGTTGGTCATTTTGGTTTCTTCCACCCTTTTTAAATCCTCATTTTAAAAATAAACATTTTCATGGCTAACAAAAGTGACTTGGAGGTTCCTCATGGATTATTTTTTTAATTCAAACCACTGAGACATGCACACATCAAGATTAACATCCAGTTTCTTGTAGTTTGGAGCTGTTCTATGTGATACTGGATTTATTTCAGTATTCCAAGTTTTTCCCTACCAGAGCCTTACAAATTAAGGCTACATTTTTCTTCTAAAATGTCTGAAAATTAGTTTATTATGTCATAAGGTCATATTTGTGTTTTTAATATTAGTAGTTCCTCAGTAAGACTTCATATTTTAAGTGATTTACAGGTACTCAGTTCATTCTTAAATGAAATAGAATTTCAATAGGTGTCTTGATGTTGTTCTGTTCTAGTTGCTGCCCATCAGGAACAGACAGGAAGGGTGCAGCACAAGCAATGGAAGGAAGGAGGAATTTATACATTACATTGGAATTAAAGAGAAAAGATCCCAACAGCCAAGATACCCCATGGATTTGGCTGAAGCATTCTGTGGCTGCCCTCCCCAGTCTGTTCTGAATCCATGCAGCAATAATATCCATGGAAATGAGTGACTAATAGGTTTGGGAAATAGAAACAAGCTTATGCTTTCTAAATAGAGTTGAAATACAGGGTAGGTGTAGAATTAACTGAGCTTCCAAAAAAAAGAAAAAGGCACAGAGGTCACTCAACTAAGTATCTGACAGTGACAGTATAAAACTGAAGTTAAGCCTCCTTTCATTTTGTGCATGCATGTACAGGTTGTGTTAAAGATGCATAAATTCGGTACCATTTGGAAGACTTCCAGGCATGCTTCCAATGCCAGTATGGCCAGAGCAGGGTCCGCTATTTCACCATGTAAGCTCCACAAAGCCAGAGGGACCAGTGGCAAAAGCTACAGCAGTGCTCCCACCCGACATCCTTCCTATAGCTAACTCTTCAAGTCACACCTCTAAAGTCTACTTTTTCCTTAGCCTTATGATCTTAATTTGCTTAATCAGATGCAGGTTGGGATAACAAGCTGTGTTTGGAATCATTGGTTTTTTTTCATTTCCAGAATAAATTCTTCTGTCATTTTCTGGTTCACTGAAGATTTCAAAGATGTTTTTGTTACTATGTGGCTTGAGTTGAATGTTATAGGAAATATTGCATTTCCCACAAATTGGAGATCTCCTTTCAGCTAGCTCTGTCTCTCCTATCCAGTTTGGTTTCTGTGTCTGGACTTTTGTCCTCACTGCTATAGTATCAGCATCTGTGGCTATCTTCCTCAATGCAGAGATGGAGGTCTCTGCCTTCCAAACACACCCTGGCATTTGCAGTTTGTTCTTTAGATCTTCCTGTCTGTCTCTATGTCTGTGGCTTATCATTTCTCCTCAGCAAGAGGAACCTTTGCTTACCCACAGAACTAAACAGGGGAAAAAAACCCGAAGTGTTTATAATCCCACAGAAACTGCAGTGAATTAAAAATGAAATTTGGCCCAGGAATGGGGACTCTGCCACTTATGGAAGGAGACAGACATGTTCAGATCGGAGGGGAAATGGTATCTCCATCTTGGGCCTCACAGCTTGAACTGAGACCTCAGTTCGAATTTCTTCTATGCCACATGTTACCTGGGACAAGTCACTCACACCATCCATGCCCCTTGCCTGTAAAATGAATAAAATTCTTGGCTAATTCCTATGCCAGGAGAGATATGAAGACATAGGCTTTGAGGTTTGTGGGTATATGTACCTCAAAGTTAACGAAAATGTTCACACCAAGATAAAACTTCCTTCTATCACATATACAGAATGTTTCTGTGTCAACAGTGCACTGTATATTTTAGCACAGTTTGCTTGGGCTTTTCCCTATAACTATTGTTCTTTCTCACATGCAAATGTGGCAGACTTTGTTTAACAACTGTAAAAGCAATGTACATTATACTTAGCACTGTCAGTTCAAGGTCAAGACAAATTTATATGTAAAATTGTGTTTACTTGTGATCTGATATGCCTCATGCTTCCTCTTCTTTCTTTCTGCCTTTCAATGGCAGTGGTAGTCAACCTACTGGTGTTAATAAGTGGATATGTGAACTTATCTTCTATAAGGAGTCCTGTACTTACTCTGTCCTGTAGAAAGCTGATTGCCTTTCAAGAATGTGAGTAGTGAGTACTGTAATGCTGGGTTAATAAACAAGGTTCCTGGACTACTTTCATTCTAGTGCATCTCGTCTAGCTTTAAGTTCATAAGTAACGTTACTGATCTGAAATCATGCTGTGCTTCTTTGTTTATTGCCTAGCACTAAAAGATACAGAAAAACCAAGGCCGACAATCTTGCATTACTCATCTCTGCAGCCAGTGAGATGTAACTAGAAATCCCAGCTGAAGAATGACTAAGTAAATTAGTGAGGTAAATCTTCAAGAAAGTCCCCAACATCTTTCCCTGTCTTAGGAAGAAACAGGAGACTCTGTTCATCAGCATAAGGGGAAAAAGTACATAGAATTGGACAGAGCACCGATATTCTTAAAATGTTTTTAGTAAGAAATAAACCAGTTGCGAAGACAACATGAGATTTCAACAAAGCAATGTCTGTTGAAGATATCTGTTCCCAACACAAGCAATACACCTATCATACTGTACAAAAACAACATGAAGAAACAACATAACATAGGCCACAGATTACCTCAGTAATCAATATATGAATGGACTATCTACATAGAGTTTGCTGCTCAGAGTAGTTTCAGCACCACAACATGTTGTTAGGGTCCCCTGGCTTCACAGGTCACCATGAAGAGCTTCTTCACCGTGTCCAAGCTTAGAGAGGTTACTCCTTGCTGCATCCCAAAGAAAGCTGCTTGCAAGAACTTCTCTCCATACCTAGCATAGCTTGCATCTAGAAGACAGAGAGGGTCCTGCAATGGGAGCAGCAGGGCAGTCACCACTTGCCTGAAAAGTTGAGAGAGAAAACACTTAAGTGCATTGGTTGGAGTTTTGGATTTTAGAGTTGAGTGACAAACTTGTTTTCTGCCACTCAGCACCAAATCAGCAACTTGACTGCAATTTGGCTGTAACAAATTCCACAAGTTTCACTCTAGTACACCAGCACCACAAACTGCTGCGTCTGGCAACTTATGTTCACATACAAGAATTGCTGCAGGATGCCTTTCAAGCAAGATACTGCATGCAAGCTCTACAACAGAAGAAGAAAAAAAAAAAAAAAAGGAATAGAAATCAATGCAATTTGATGATCCTTTTCTTCCAAACTGTCACAGAATACTTGGTCCAGATTAACTTTGAGGAAATGAAGGAGCCAATACCTGAAAAAAGACTCTGTGGTACTTCCCACAATATTGTCAGCCAAGGAGAAATAGTTACTTCTCAGAACAAAAAGATTACAAAGAGCAGACATAAAGCTCTTGCTTTTTCTTCTGTAAAGAGATTTGCAATGCCTGTACTCATGAGCTGTCATGTTTTGCTGGTTCACCAGTGATTAGGAGTCAAGGGCAGGATCCATGTGGCTGTGGTGTTAGCTCCTGCTTCACTGCAGTGCATACATCAGCATTGCCAAATCTAAATTATTAGTGATAGGCTGACTGCAGGCAGCTTTATCAAACCTATGAACTTCAGCAGGCACTTCAGCTCTTTTCTGCCATCCTAAAGAAAGATCTGGTAACTGCAGAAAATACAATTTACCCAGCCTACCGAATTGAAAGCCAGCTAAGATGTCCATATGAATAATGATCTCTGGCCTGCATTGCAGCAATGCTGGCTTTCTTACAGACTTCCTGAGCTAGCTCTCAACTCTGGAGTTTGGGTAGAAGACATGGAGTAGTCACCCCAGCTTGCAGTTCAACCTCTACTCCCCACCCCATACAATAAGGAAACACAATTAGGCTTCTACATGATGGAAAACTGAACAAAGAAAATGGGTATCTATGACCATTTTCAAAGGGCCTGCAGATGCCATCCACTCTCCACAGAAACCATGTTTTACATGTAAACACTCCAACCACTACTTTCTGCAAGAGCCTTCTTTCATCTTCAGCTGATGAGGAAAGCTGAATGACTGTTCGAAGTTCCTCTCTTAAAATGTAGATTGTTCAAACTGAGCATGCAAGTTTTGTTGTCAGTGACAACCACACTGTCTCTAACAGGTTTCTCAGGGCAAATGCTACATACTCACTTTAGACTTGAAATTTCTTTCTGAGTACCTCCCGTAACAGCTTTCCAGATCTGGTGTGGCACAAAAGCCACACCTATTTTTTCACTGCCTTTTAGAACTAAACCTTCCTTCATATAATTAGCTTATTTTAATAATGTCCTCCCCATGAGGTCATTTTGCAGAAACCTCATTGGAGATATTCATGCATGTTCAGTTTGCTCAGTGACTGATATAATAAATTCCCTCTCTATATAAGTCCTCGGAGAAGATGAGCTTCCAACAGGCTGTCTCCTTACTGAAAGCCTCATAATTCTGCAAAAATGGTGAGTCCTTACATTTTATACTGTAAAAAAACATGTCATGTTGCTATAGATTTTAAAGGAGGTTCTGTTGGATTTAGCTTAGGACTCAGACATCTAAGCAACTTGGAGAAAGTATGAATTCTGTGTTTTGAGAGCAAAAGTCAGACAGATAGGTACAGGCAGGTAAAACCTCAGGTGACATATCAGCACATATATGTCAGGAGATGTCTAATAGGACTCCAGCTAAGGCTTTTTACTATAATCTCTTTTCACTTGCATGCAATGTTTGGAGATATCTTTTCTGGCAGAAAGCAACCCTGTTGTACCTCAACCAAGAACTGGTTCATTTTTGTGAAGAGTCTGGATAACATCTGAAGATTTGAGTTAAACTCAGAAATAGTGTATTAATTTTGACTCATTTGCAGCTCTGTGGGTTTTAATCTCTCTTCTGCAAAATAAAATGCTAGTTTGTCTTCCTCTGACCTCTCAGGTACAACTTTTTTTATCGGTCACCAGTTCTATTCTTTCCAAAACAAACACATATATACAATGTGTGTGTGTGTGTCATTGTCTACTTCTGGTCTTTTTCTCTTACCAACATTTTAAATTCATCACTGCTAATTCCATCCTAGAGTTCTTCCACTTTTTTGCTTCATATTCCTAATGAAAACTTTTAATATTAAGCTGAAATATTTGAAGGGCTAAGAGACTAGCTGAGAAATTTAAGCTGACTTCTCAGAAAAAGCTGCTGACAAATGTCAGAGAATATAGAATTATCTAGGTTGGAAGGGACACCTGCAAGTCATTTGGTCCAGCCTCCTGATCAAAGCAGGGCCATCTTCAGTGTTCAACTTTAGATTAAATTCTTCAGCTTGTTCCTAGTCCTTCAATATTAGGTTGAAACTCCCAGTGGGTTCTTCAGACTCCAGTGGAGAAGTTTTTACAGCCATGAGTGAGGTTAGTAGCAGAGGCAGTCGGTGACTGATCCCGTGGAGAAAATAAGAACAATAAAAACTGAAGTGGGGGAAGGAAAGGAATAGAACACACTCCTTTTAGAAACAGTTCTGGGTCTACGACTTCTGTATCAGGCAATGCTTGGAAGGACTTTTTCCCCCTTCCCACATGATGCTTTGCTTCTGCTGCTTTTAAATGGTTCAGTATTCCTGGCTGCATGTTGAAGAATCTAAACTGCAAAAGACAATTGGATTTTTGATTTGAAACCATGATGTATTTTCCCATTTCTAATGTGAGTATTTATGATCAAGAGATGCTAACAGTTACTTAAATATTCATATCAATTCTGCTTTCTTGTACAGAAAACCATCTGGGCCTGCCTTCTTGTTCTTGCTCTTAGCATGCCGCTGTCCAATGCTTATTGTGTCCGTCAGCCATGGAAGCCAGAGAAGTCTGATGGCAAGATTGTAGGTAAGAAATCAACGATCCTCAACTTGACAGATGTCACCACAAGCACTGCCCAATTTTATTTGTCCATTCCATGCAATTTATCAAAATTCAGAAATAAGTGGAAACAATGGAGAGAAAACATTAGGAGATGGGGAGGAAAATGGTGTATGGAGAGCAGGAAATTTATAATGTTATAAAAAAGAAGGTCATCTGAGGAGCTACACACAGGCAAAATTAAAAACTAATTTTGTCTAGGAAAGTAGCATAGGCTTACTTTAGCCATCTGCATGATGTAATATTTCATGTTTTCAGTATAGCAGCATATTTAGAAATACAGAGAAGGGGGGGGGAAGAGCCTTTCTCTGTGTGTGTGTGTGTGTGTGTGTGTGTGTGTGTGTAGACAGCATAAAGTAGGAAACAGATAGGCAAGTGTTCAACACACTGGTCAATTTACTCATTAGTTGTTCCCCTATCCAAAGCAAGTTCTTAAGAACAGAATGGCTGCTCTCCTTGAGTCCGAGACTGTTTCACCAGAATGTAGCTTCTATCATCTGTAGATTGATAGACTAGCTATAAGAAAATAAGTGTCCCCAAAACAGAGGTTTTTCTGGGAAAGATAGTGCTACTACTAGACAAATGAGTTAGATTGCCAAAGAAACAAGACATTTATAGGTCAAGACACAACCCAGAACCCCCAAATTCTCCACTCTTTTGTCCTATCCACATAAAATCCTACTTTTCAGGTCACTTATTTACAAAGTGTATTCTGTGACTGTTGGATGGGAGCTTTGCATAGAATATGTGTTTTCTCCCTGAAGTTTAGGATTGGAGGAAAAGTTTTCCAGGCAGATTTAGTCTTGCTCTAAACGAAGAGTCAACAGTAGTTGGTGTTACAAGGGGGCAAGTCAAAGCCTTTTCTAAATTCTGACTAGGTCTGTGCCTGGGTGCTCCAATTCCTGTACTTAAAGATGAGCTACTCCAGGAAATCTAGTGCTGCTGATCACCACAGGAAACAGAGGCACCCAGGATACCCTTCTCCATGCATTAGAATAGTAGCAGTCCTGCTTTGTTGGGGAACCTGTGTGTTTGCCAGATAGAGATGCTAATGTAAAAAGCCAGCAAAGATCCAACCCATTTTGTACAAGCAGTAGTGTTGTTAGTACAATAGGTCTGACACTGAAGGCTGTTTGCACACTATGTTTTCAGGCTGCCGTGACTTGAATGGAGAGCTGCATGAACTTGATTCCCAGTGGAGGACTGACAGCTGCTATGATTGTTCCTGCTCTGAGGGCGCCATTGACTGCTGCTCCAGGTGAGTTCAGAGCAGAGATGGGGTTTTCCTCTGCTGCCATGATACAGCACAAAACATTTCCCTTTATGCAAGGGTCCCTGAGAAATGACTGTGACCCTTCTCCTGCTCACTTGATATCACAAAGTTATGCATTAACCCAACAACATCACCTCTGAACATGAAAGAAGTTCCCCTGACAAATATACCTCATGTTTAACAAATATTCTTGATTTTAAGAAGAGTACTTCATTCTTCTTGGAGATAAAATTTCAGGCAAGATACTGATTCAAGAGAGAAAGATATAATAACTCAAGAAATTTCTGCTGCTCCTAATCCAGGTCTTCCCAAAGCCACACATTGCCTCTCTTTTCTTTGAGGGGCAGCTCAAGATACACTGGCCTGCCTACAATTTTCCTATAGTGACACCCAACCACTCATGCAATTTTGTTCCATACTATGGCTGAAGAGAAAAAGCGATGATATTGGAGTAGCAAATAAACATGACAAACATGCATTGGGTGTAAATCAGATTAGTAAACTACAACTTTCCCCTTATCCTGCTTAAGCCATATACTAAGTAACATTTGAGCTGGGAGCTTTGTGTGAGCCCCCTTTTCTGCTCTTGAGCACCTCCCCAGTATAGCCTTTTCCTATTAAAGGTGTAGATATAATCTGAAATGGAAGCTGTTTACTTCTTGGTCTCATCACCTCTTTGTCCTTTTCCCAATGACAGCTTCTCAACACCATCTGACTATGATAAAGAGAATTGTGTAAGCATTTTCAACAAGGAGACCTGCACTTATAAAGTAGTGGAGAAAGATGATCACTCAAAAGAATGCCCAGTACATGCGTGGGTGGGCTAATAAGGAAGGATTGTGGATTTGGGAATTATTTCTTTTTTTGTTTGTTTTAGGGGTTCTTTCTCACAAATTAAAACAACCTGAAAAATGCAGTGGTAGAGTGAAATCTATGTATAAAACCTAACACATAATAAAACTGAATATCTACTCACAAAAGACTCCCTTGGTTTCTCTGCCTTCTGCTTTCCCATGAAAAAAGAATTGACTTATTCCTTCCTTGAGATCATAAATTAAAGCTGACATTTTAAAGCATCCCCATTAGATGTTAATTATACATCTTCTGTAGTCATACTTCAGTGCTAGGGAGTATATTCTGCTATCTGTGCACAGGGTTCATAATTCTGTTCTGGAAGACTACAAGCTAGAGAATAAAAAGATTAAGAATATAAGAGTAACCAAAAAGCAAGGTGTTTTGATGACATTTCTGAAGGCAGTGGTATACATTTTCTCAGTATTTGCAGAAATATTCTGGCTTCTGTATAAAGACACCTGCTTCTGAACTCCTCTTCTGCAGTACCATAACCTAAACTGAAAATGCTGACAAGCCTAAGGTTGTGACCTGCATCTGACCAAAGATGAGATTGTGTTTATGGTAGCACATATAAGAGATCAAGTTCTGTGCAGCTTTCCAAAGAGAGGTAAATTTTATTGGTTTAATCCAGGGCATGAGCAGGCTGTTAGTTTCCTACTTGCCTCTAACTACCACTTTCCAGACTCCAGCACTTCAGGGTTGAGGCCAGGTTGGTTAGACACGGCTTTGAGCAACTTGGTCTAATGGAAGGTTACCTGCCCATGGCAGGGGGCAGAACAAGATGATCTTTAAAAGGTGCCTTCCAACCTAAACCATTCTATAGATGTCTGTCTGCAAGAGACTTCCAGGTTCAGTTTTAAGGCATGTCCATAGAGAATGCCAAGTCTTAACTCAGTCGTGACCAGAGATTTATATCCCGTTTCAAGGTGTAGTAGATATATGCACCCAAAATCCAGAAAAGCCAGCCTGAATCAGCATTCCTACATGATCCAGACCTATTTAACTACATTTTAAACCCACCCAAGCACCTTTCTCTACCATCTGTCAGGTCTTGTTATATGTGGATCTACCGTGTCTGCTATGCAGAAACAGGAGAGATTTCATATCTAATCCAAAAAACCTCCAGGGAGCTCTCCTCTTGTCTGCTCCAAGTTTCAACATGGAAACAGATTATGTTACCTGTTGCATCTAGTTTTGGAATACCAGAAGCACAGCAGGGACTTGGCTCCTTTCTGTAGCAAGGAGTCTAGCTGTGGGAGGATGACAAAATCCTCAAAAAAAAAATAAACTAATCAAGAAAGCAGAGACAGAGCATGCAGAGTTCTGCTTGGCAAAAGTGGGAAGAGTAAAGTGATGTTTTGTGCTGGCATTTCACTGCTTCAACACACACAACTATAGTACTATACAAAGAATACATCCCTCTACCCTTAAAATCATAACATTGCTTGCACAATATAGTGGAAAGGAAACATTCACAGAAGAGTTTCCTCAATTAACCTAACACGTTAAAAGTTTAGAAGACACTGCAGAGCCTTGGGAGACAACACAGCCCAGGTTGTGTGCTCTCTTTCTCCCAGTTTCGGTCTCCCCACCTGGTAGCACACAGCTCTCCTTCTACCTCTGCTAGCAAGAGAGGCAATTTCAGACAGCTGGCCCTCAACTACCAGTAACTGTTTTCAAGACAAGTCTTTTGAGTACTGGAAAGGTGTTCCTGCCCTAGAAATGAAATCTAGAGCTTAGCCTACCAACTGCCAAGTCTTAAACCAAACACCAGAACACACATAAATCTCATGGAAGTTTTCCTATTAAACAGTGTTTATCACCTAAAACTTAATGGTTTTGTACCCATTCATGTTTTATTTCCATTAAGATTTTTTGCTCCAATCTTAAGAATAAAATTCAATTTGATCATAATCAAGGAAGGTGCATATCTCATTTACATTATACATACCAAGGAAGCTAGAGATTCGCAGCTCACATTCTGCTTCATGCTAATTAAAAAAAAAACAAAAACAAACCAACAAAACAAAAACAAAAAGAAAAAAAACACAACAAAAACAAACAAAAAAACCCCAACCCTCTGATAAATTCAATTCATGACAATTTTGCTTGTTTGCTTTGCTCTTAGTTAGCTCTTCTGTCGGTATGCAGGGAAGTTTGAATTGGCACCTTTATGAAAGCCTGAAAGTTTGCTCAAATCTGTTGCTGTGAATATGTTTCTTTGGGCCAAACTGTGGTTTATTTTAGGGCAAACTGATTGGCTTTATAACAGGCACTTACACGAAACTCCAAAACACATAAGTCACACAACCAATTTAAAACACTTAGCAAGAATCGGTTACTTTAACCTTCCTCCCCACATCCCAGAATTCTGTTTACACATTAACTTCTTTCAGCATGTCTCAGCCATTGGTCCATGCTTTTTACAGTTCTTCAGGGCTTCAGTGCTTTTTGCAGAGTCAATACTTCAAGCAGATCTCCATTAAAAAGCACTGATAAACTGCAGTCCCTTGCTGCCACCAGATAACTTCCTTGAAAATAATCAAGTATGTTCTCCACTAATTCCAGAGGCTTCTCCCATTACTGACCTGGCCTGCCAAAGATGGGGCAAATCTACAGAGAAAGAAATAAGCAATTTTGTTTAACAGCTAACTATAATGGCTCAGAGACCATGAAAGAATTCATTTGCTAAGCTGTATAATGCAGAAGTCGCTCCAGTTCACTGTATGAAAGACAGGGTAGCTGGGTTGAAATACCATTCTGGAATGGTGTAGTTTCCCTAATGTGCTATCCTGAGCCAAACCACAGTCTAATGATTGTACAACAGATCCCTGTGGCACTTTGCCTACTCTTTTCAGTTCCTAGTTTGGGACTTTCCTGATTCTCTCCTAACAGCACTATCCCTTTGTCTCCCCATGTCCTGCTGGAAGCTTCCCAGAGGTTGCAAGAGCTTATTTTATTGGGGTGCTCTCCTGCTTTCGCCATGTCTCTGAACAGAGAGGTGCTGTCCTGCACAGCAGACATTATGGTCAAGCAGAGGTGAGCAAGGTTCTGGCTTGGTGTGGTATTATTTCAAAATTCTTTATACCCCTCAAGTCACAAACTGGATTATTTAACAAATGTCTTCTTTCCAGGTCAGTTGTTCGTTTCTATTTGTAGGATGTGCCTCTGTAAGGCAGACTATTAATCAAGCTCATTCAAAGTATAGAGCATTGTCTTCTAATATTAACAGCAATTTATACAAATGGGTTAGGTAAGCTCTGTAACATTATTATGAATCCTGGCAGAGACTTTTAGGAACATAACACCCAGAAGCTCACCATCTGATTTTGGCTACATGGCTGGCCTCAGGCCTTTTTTTCAGACGTAACTACTGTTGAGCAGTTAGTATCCCTCATTAACATCTCCCTCACTTTCTTCTGAATGTCTCTTAAATGGGATACTTTCCCTTCTCTCTTCAGCAAGAAGGGGTTCAAAAGTTAGAATGACCAAATTTGTATCAGAAATGGAGAATAGCAAACCAGTATTCTTTACTTGGTTTGTACTGCCAGCCAGTAATTTCAGAAAGGACCTAAGTTTTTCAGCAAGCCTAGTAGGAAAGTATCAGGAGCTTGATTGGGTAGATTGCTGTAACTGCAGCCCAGCTGCTTTACTACAGCTTATTTATGTACAGATATGACAGCTCTAGAACTTCTTTTTTCTGTTGTTGCTGAGTTTCGTTTAATTCTTTTTTCTGTCTTACAAATCCAGTAGTCACTATATGACATCCTAGCTCCGTCACAAGTCAGAACTACAGGGAACGCAAAACCTAGATGCTGATTCAGTTGGCAGATGAGCTCAGTTTCTGTTCACTCCAGTAAGGTTTGTGAATGCAAGTGGCTTTTTAGGAGTCTTTAGTCTATATACTTAGTCTATATCCAAGGAGGTATCATGGATGGGACTGAGTAGTTTTAAGAGGGTTTTTGAACTTGGACATAGAGTGACCTGCCTCAATTACCCTTGATACAGGAGAAGGGTAATTCATGAGAAGGAACACTTAATAACTCTACTTCAAAGTTTCATTCAGGGAATAGATGCATTAGCACCTCTGATTGTTAATAGAGGAAGACCAGGAGTTTCTCCTTTCAGCATGGCAATGCAAGTTGAATCAGAGATGATGGCTTGTGAAAACATCACTAGAGACAAAAAATCAAAAGTCTAATATTAAATTCTGAAATAGTCTGGTTCATAGGAAAAATAGTGCTGGGGTCAATTCTGTTTGGGAAGAAAAGCAACTTCATAAGCTTTCTTAACAGTAGAATCATTGATAGGACAAATCATGCTTTAAGGCTTGTGGTAACCAACTTTTTTCTTACAGAACTCTCAGACTGCAGTTTTTTTATATCAGCACCCCATTCCCCAAGATTTCTAACCCATTTCCTCAAAGGCATTACTGTCAGGATGCAAGACAACAGAAGAACAAATGCTTGTATACCAAGTTAGTCTGTGCAACATTTCTTCCCCCCTGAAGTCCCCAGCAGATGAGAGCTAAGGCTATGGGCATTGGCTGCAAGAAATGCAAACATCAGAACATGCCACATACAGTTCAGGAGGTGCACATGTAAACCAGCTGCTGCCACCCATCTCCTCCAGTACTAATTTGGGAAAGGTATCCCAGGAAAGTTCTGTTGGCTGCCCAGACCCTACAGCACAACTGACACCATGTAATTGAATTTCAATGCTTTATGACTTAGATGATAGACACATTTGGAAGGGTGTAGATAGGCACAGGTTAGACAGACAAGACCAGCACCCTGTCTGCAAGAAGCAAAACAGAAGATGTTGGCTTTAACACAAGGCTTACTTGCTAGAGCTGCTACAAGACTCCTGTAACTGCATAACAACAGATAGCTTCAAGGTGCTTGAGAAGGGATCAATATGCAGTTGCTCGAAGGGGTCATTGCCAGGTCTGAATAGACCCAAACCCACCATA